TTTCTGTCGTCTGGAATGTTATATTAAGTAATAAATCTAGTTACTTTAGGTTTAATAATTAGGTGAAAGCTAGTTAAACCTGACCTTTTCTGAACAAATCATGGATTTTTCCATTAATCTTCCTTTTGGATCAATGCATGAGCATCTGTTTTATGGCACTGGCGTGTTAGCCAGCTTATTCAATGTGGCCGAAGTGCTCGGATCACCTACGTGACGCATGCTGCGTGCTTCACTTGCCAAAACCAGCGCTCCCCTGAGGTCCTGACCATCGCTAATGAATTCACAAAGAACGGGGCTCTTCTGCTTGAGTGCCAATCCGTCTGACTTCTCCACTGGAGCGCACACACGCAAGATACTGTATGTCTGTGTTCCCAGACTGACTTGTTTTTCACAAACTGTAGTAGAGGCCTAGCAGATAGCAGAAACGCAGTACAGTATGTCACAACATTCAGTATGTAGCCTTCAGCCTTTGGATGTAGTGTGAGTTAACTGACAAATGCTTTGTGAAAATTCAGCAATTCATTAAATACAGTACATGCGAATAAGATTTAAACAGTATGTTTTAACAGTTCATGTTAGGGATGAGAATGCTTAGACACCTCATGATCTGATTCGTAAACGATTCTTCATCTATTTTTGATTTCTTTTCTTATTAATTAATGAGTTTACCGACTTTAAATCCATATTAAAATAATTACAAATTAATAATAAATCGAAGCAATTGTACGTTAAAGGGACAGTTCACCAAAAAATGTAAATTCTGTTGTCATTTACATCATGCATTTTGACTACGTTTGTGCAATCAAAAACAAACATTTTCATGTAGTAATGCGTTGTAGTGCAAATCTCTGGGGCAAGATATTAATCTAGGATAAATGTTCAAATAAAAATAGTTTGGAAATATATCCAATATGTGGTTGTATGTACTGTGACAACCGGTAGAGATTCAGCTGTACAGTTTATACTGCTGTTTATGTGTGGTGTAATCAATTAATAATTAAACTACTCTGCAAAAGCAGGCTGCTACTTGCAGTGTAGACAGCTTTGTTGATTTTAACAGGAGTGGCGTAGTTTTGAGGAGCTGTGCCACACATTTCCAGAGTAATGATGATGTAATGGTTGGTTATAGTTGCCGAGCAGCTCCACCTTGCATTAGTTCAGCATTCAGTGGTCACAGCATCATGTATGCGCATTTATTTACAACAGCCTCCAACACCACTCATTTAGTCATATTTATAATGTGTTACTGTTTTGGGGTTGACTAAAGTGTTTGTAAAGCTTTTTTTTTGCATCGATGCTAAAATAATCATTCAGTATTATTATGAATAATAGTATCTAAAAATATGAATATTTTTAACATAGTTATTACTACATTATGCTACATGCACATTTTGGGATTTAATTTCCTGTAAATAACTATCATGATAGAGTCAATACGCCCACTCCTACCAAGGCTTGCATTTATTGGATAAAGTAAAAAGCAGTACTATTGTGAAATATTACAATTGAAAATAACTGTTTTCTATTTGAATATTGTTAATGTAATTGATTGCTGTGATCAAAGCATCATTGCTCCAGTCTTCAGTGTCACATGATCCTTCAGAAATCCTTCTGATTTGCTGCTCAAGAAACATTTCTGATTATCAATGTTGAACACAGTTGTGATGCTTAATATTTTTGTTGAAAACGATAGATTTTTTTTGTTTTCAGGATTCTTTGACAAATAGAAATTTCAAAAGAAGAGTTTATTTGAAATGGAAATATTTTGTAACATATTAAATTGTAATACTGTCACTTTTGAACAGTTTAATGTGTCCTTGTTGAATGAAAGTATTAATTAAAAAACAAAAAAAACAAAAAAACCCTTGACCCTGAACTTTTAAACAGTAGTAGTATAAGTGCTTTAAAGGGGTCATATGATGCGATTTAAATTTTTCCTTTCTCTGTGGAGTGTTACAAGCTCTTGGTGCATAAAGGCCGGCTGTTCTGATTCACGTAAGTACGTTTTCATTTAAAGGATTTGCCACTGAAGATTCAAACGCGAGTTTTGGGCAGTGTAGAGTAGCGCTTGTTGTTTGTCATTTTTCCGATCACAAATGCAGACAGAGTTTTATGTTTACGCGGCGCGATGCAATGCAACACAACGCGTAAAAAGACAGTATAAGTCATTATAATCAGTAATTATGTCCCCACTGGATGCAACAAATGCCTCGTTTTTAATGGGTTTTAATGTTGTCTTGTCGCTCCGGCCTGACACGACATCAACAGTATGTGAGGGGCGTAACACTTCCGTCTCACGCTTGAGGTATTCAGCCAATCACAATGCACTGGATAGCTGGCCAGTCACAGCACACCTTCCTTTTCAGACCGATGAGCTTTGTAAAAATCGGCGCGTTTCAAAAAGGCGGGGCATAGAGGAGAAACAATAACGTACAGTATGTGGAAAATAATGTGTTTTTTGAACTTTAAACCACATAAACACATTTCATTACACCAAATACACAAAATAATGTTCTTTTTAGCAGCATCATATGACCCCTTTAACAAAAGTTCAAGTGCCTCATTTCTGCTTTTAAGCCTCCAAAATGTCTAGACTTTCATAGCAAGTTCTCTGTCGTAAATGTACTTTTGTGGTAATCAGCAGCATGTAGATTGTGCCAGTAACACTTAGGCTGTATCAATGCTATAACATCCTTTAACAAATTGTATTTGAGCACATTTGCAGAAGATTGGATCATGATTTGTGTGGCCTGTCTCAATGGATCCTTTTGATTTGTGCGTTTGTCAGATAAATCAGCTGAATTTGCCAGGTACTGATGAATGCTGCAGCAGTAAAAGACACTAAACAGTTTCTGTTCTACCACTGAAAGCAAATGACTCATTAAGCAAAAGGCCAAAATGACTTTTGAAAACGTGAGAAAAGTGGTGAAAAGAGGTCTCAAGACCTACCTACGTTTTGTCTATTCTCCGGCTGTTTTTAACAAAGAGTGGCCTGCGTGAGCGGCCCCTAACCCTGTTTGTGCTTATTTTGTACCTACTTATTTTTGGAGACGTCTCTGAGCTGCCCATAAGGCTGTAGGATTCAGTAATTTGTTTTCTGAGTAACCCAGAACCATCACTGTCAGAGGCGTTTAATTAACCCTCCCTCAGCATGAGCATTCATTTGGAAGTAACTAAAAAAAAAAACCTCCCTGTTTGTATGATACTTAATAATTTTTGTCTTTTATTTGCATTTTTCTTTTTCAATTCTAAAAGACTGTCATGAAATTTTAGTAATAGGAAATACACAGTCAGATTTCCTTCCCCCGATCTTGTTTTTCTTTCGCAATTTTCCATTATCTTTTTTCTTTTTGCCCCCTCTCGGGAAACAAAAGATCAATTTTGTGAGAGCACAGGCTCCACCCCATTCCTCTTCAGTCTTTCTTGCAGCCACCTCGCACACGTTTCTCTCTCTCTCTCTCTCTCTCTCTCTCTCTCTCTCTCTCTCTCTCTCTCTCTCTCTC